TCAGATGACTAGAGTTTGTATTAAGGTGACATAAAAGAAGCAAGAACACACGGTCTGCTTATGTCTGTATTTATCCTCAGCAGGGTCAAGGCAGTCACCTGCAGTCTGTTTCCTCACAATCCAGATTTGTTTATTATTTAATTAAAATCTAACGACATCATCTTTCTTCTCTATCTTTATTGTTCTACCCCTCTCATGTTGTTTCTCCCTACCTAGTTCATGGTGGCCTCTTCTTTAATCAGTTTTGTTTCATATATATATAAATGAATCAACTTATAAATACAACCTGCTATTTCTGTCCAGAATTGCTCAAACATAGAAGTTTCTAGGCTTGCATTTCTTGCGTGCTTACATTTTGTAGATAGTCAGCCATGGATTCCCAGTATTTCACATAAGAATATACAACTAGATTTAAAAAAAATAAATTCTGGTAGGCTTGTGTTCTTGCTTACCAACATCATTCTGAATCACTTAGTTATGTTTCATGACGTTTCTCTCTTCTGCTATGCCAGTTTTGTGGTGAAAAACAGGAAATGCTTCCTGTTTACTTAATGTGTACTTGATCATATAAGACAGAATTAATTTAACACTTGACATAAATGTTTTTCTTAGTTTACAAAGGTTCTGATTAACTATATTAGAGCAGTTATTGACCAAGACACACTTTGAATCTCACATATAAAATGAGAGTTTTATTGTGAATACTTATTAAATGTAATTATTATTTTTTAAATATACATCAATAATAAGTGAATCATCATTAAACAATCTGTCAAGAAGATATGTATACTACATAAAATATATTCAAAGTAGTCAAAATTAAATAGTCTAAAACAGGCATTTAAGAAAAATAAAAGAATGATAGTCTCAAATGTGTAACATTAGAAAGAACTTATGCTAAAAGCGATTTTAGTTTTTTATTCTACTGCTCATACAATTGCAAAATATGAAGGTTTAGATTGTGTGGGTGTCTAGTTTTTGTGACTTTGATCTATGTGACAAAGCAAGGCTGAATAAACTTGGTTAATTTCTCTGAATATACTTTGATCTTGTGAACTGGGTCATGGCTTTCCTGTCTTTCAATTTGTTCTCTCCTATTTATGTGGGAATATAAAAGACAAATTTCAATTTATTTTTAAATTATTTTCTCCTAGCAAAAAAAGTAAGGCACTGTGTATAAGTAGATAATTATTGAATCTTGTTACTTGTCCATTTCTTCTGAATTCCTAATTTACATTCATATTAAGTTATAATGTCCCTTATAAGATTTTACAAAAAGATCCAGAAGTATCTACTATCAAAGGGAAAAAAACTAGTTGAAATATTTTTTAAAGCAAGAAATACAAAGATGTCACTGACAAAGCATGAAGGCATTTGATTTAGTCACAGTGGACCTTATGGCACAATACACAACTACATCATGTCCCCACTACTGCAATGAGTAAGGAAAAGCAGTCTCCCCTTTTTACGATCCTTCTTTTACAGTTCAGAGACCTCAAATACAACTGCCTTCCCTATAGTAAGTAGGATAGGATTATTTTAAGAAATAGTAAGATACCAATTGCAAATTGTGTTTCTAAAACTGCCACAAACTGGAATACACTTTTGCCACTCACAGAAGCACCTCATGCAGGTTTTAGAAAGTACTGTTTTGACTCTGGAGATCCCCCCAAGGAGGGCCTCACCCTCCCTTGGGAATGCTGTGGGGATTGGGTGGGAGACTGGGGGAGCTGGTAGAGGGACAAGGGAGGAAAGATGGGAGAGGGAGCTGGGATTGACATGTGAAGCATGCATGTTTCTAATTTAAATAAAAACATATATTGATGAAAAAAAGAAAATACTGCTTTGTTTTGTTTTGTGTTTTTCAGTTTGTCAAGCTATGAAATTACTGTTCTTGTAGATACAGGAGTCCAATGATGAGCCATTGGTTTGTCTTCTTTGTAATTACAAGTCTGAAACAACAACAAAACCCTCCCAAAATAGCTGTACTTCAAGACAACCAGTTTCTGACTGTCTTTTAACTTCATAGTTTATGGTGATTTCAAATGTTAATGGTAACAGTGGCTATTTGTAATCCATCAGAAATCTTAAACTGTTGAAATTCCAAATGAGTAATCCAGGTCCCTGACACTTAAATTGTATTCCCTCCTCTTATAAGAAAGTGGCCATACATAATTCTTAATATTTTCTATGAAATGGGCCAACAAGAATTGCATGAGACAGGTTTGTTGTGATAAAAGTTATTATTTATAAAGTATTAAGGAGGACTCATAAAACTCAATATCTAAGTTATTTTTCAGTTGCTATGGTATGACACCATGACAAAGGCAACTTATGAAAGAAAGTAGCTAATTTGGAGACAGACCATTCCAAAGGATTAGATTCTCTGACCACGATGGCAGGATCATGGCAGCAGACAGGGAAGCATGGCTCTGAAACCATAGATGAGAGTTTACATGTAGATATAATACCCACTATGCAGAGAGAGGGGGGGGAGGAGGGAGGGAGGGAAAGAGAGAGAAGGGGGGCTAATTAGGATTAGTACCAGCTTTTGAAACCTCAAAAACTTCTCTCAGTTATACACCTACTTCAATAAGGCCACACCTTAAAATTATCAAACAGTTCTATCAACTGGAAACCAAGCTTTCAAATATATGAGTGTATGGGAACAATTCTCATTCAAACTACCACACTATTTAAGAGCGTTAGTTATAAAAAATGAAATTATCCACTTTACAAATGTCCCTAAATAGCCGGGCGGTGGTGGCGCACGCCTTTAATCCCAGCACTCGGGAGGCAGAGGCAGGCAGATCTCTGGAGTTCGAGGCCGGGCTGGACCAATAGCCTCCGAAACACTACAGAGAAACCCTGTCTCGTAAAAACCAAAAAATAAAAAAATAAATAATAATAATAATAAAAAAATAAAAAAAACAAATGTCCCTAAATATATCTAATTGATCTTTTGAATACAAATAATCCAGGTTATTGACTGAGAAACAAAATGAGACAATTATGGTAGCATTCTTTAATAAAACATACTAGGTGATGAAGTTTCACTGGCTATAGACTGACCAGCTGTCCTCTTTTCAATATTGAGAAACATCAAGAAGTAATAATTAAGAAGTCTCTAGGTCTGTGTGCCTTGGTAATGTCTCTCTAAGTTCCTAGAAGGAAGCTATCATGTCTTCTCTATAATATAAAAATACTGAGCATGTTTGAGGTGGGAATTTAGCAATGTTACAACAGCCTCATTTGTTAAGAGCACTCTGTAATTCAGTTGTGTAATCATGGTAATTATATTTATAGTTACCATGCTGAAAACATTTTAGAGCTACACTCTTTTGAATAATAATAAGCATCATAGCAACAGATTTAGTTGTTTCACAAATGCTACTTGTATGATTGTTATCAGCACAGAATTAAAATGTGCTCCCTGTTATCGGTCGGGATTATTTTAAATTGGACTTATTTTTAATTTATGCATAAAACATACAAATTATAGAAGTTCATGAGATGTTTCATACATGTATACTTTGTGGACTCTTCAAATCAAGGTAACCATACTTAGTTACATAAAGCATTTGCTTTTCTATGGCATAATATTCAAAATTTCTTATTCTAACTTTCAGAAATAAACAGCACATTTTGTAGTCTTGTTGTCATTGTTGTTGTAGTTGATATCAGTGTGGTCTCCTGCAATTGCAGACTAGAATTTCTTCGTGATATCAAAACCATATCTTACTATCCTGTGCTCAATATCTTGAAATCTCCCTCCCTTTCTTCCTCAGCTTCTATGGAATTAACTGTTCCAGATCTTACACACAAGAAGAAACTTGTGTGACATGTTTCTTTCTGTGTTTAGTTTATTTTTAACATAATGGTCTCTGATAACATTCATTATCCCAAATGACAGAAATTCACCATCTTTTTTTGGCTGGTTAATGTCATATTGTATAAATTTATAACATTTTCCTTATTCAGCACCTACAAATTTTTACCTGTGCCAAGACAATATCAGGCAGTTTTGTGAAATAACACCAAGAATTCCAGTTTAGGCTTTCCAGATAGAGCTTTCAAATTCTTTAATTTTGTTAATACTCTCATTTAATTTTGCTTCCATCTCCTACATGAAGTGACTTTAGTTTCTATACTTCTTAAACAAGACTACACATTCATCACAACACTGGTTTTATATTCTTTTATGAAAGATACTTTTGCTAGGTTCTTTTATGAAGGAGTTAAAAGAAATGTCATAATGGTAGCATTTGTATTATCATTGCCTATTCCAACATTTGCAATAACACATTTGCTTATATCCCTGTTTAATCTAACAAGACACAAATATTTCTAATCTGAGCTAGAATCTGCCAAATGAAGCCAAACATGTAGATCTTCTGTCTGTCTAGACAACAAATAAAGAGACTCAGGCTTCAGTGGGTGATTTGGAAAGAGGGTTTGTTCTTGCCAAGCAGAAATCTGATTCTATCCACGATCATTCACTGATTGCCTTTGGTAACATCTGCTCTCTATTGTTTTTTTATTCTAATGAGAATGATATTTAAAAATTCAATGCAAACTGACTATACCTATCTTCTTCCTTTATGATTCCTGCTAGTGGGTACTAGAACATTGCACCTAATAGTAATGGTACTTGGCGTTTTTCATTAAAAAAAAATAAAAGGAAGGTTAAAATTCAACGTTAAGTTGTAATTTCAAACATTAAATAAATAAGAGTAATAAGTTGATATTTTTATTTTCTAATTAATGTATTGTTGAATATCTATTGTATTTCTCTGCTACACTAAGTGCTGGAACAAAAATTTAATACAAATTAAAACAAAGCTTATTATATTGGTGACATGTGGACTCTAACTTACATATATTTTTACAAATATAAATAACTCATTATTCTGTATATATTTTTTAAATGTCAGCATATGCTTTTCTCCCAGATATGACTCAATTTCCCCTTCCTGTGTGCTCAATCCTGCCACCTTTAGGAAATAGTCAATTTCAACTGCCGGAAGTTGGTAGCAACGATGCCTCTCTTTGCTAATGCGGATCCCAATTTTGTGACTGCTATGCTGAGCAAGCTGAGATTTGAGGTGTTCCAGCCTGGAGACTACATCATTCGAGAAGGAGCTGTGGGGAAGAAAATGTATTTCATTCAGCATGGTGTTGCTGGTGTCATCACCAAGTCCAGTAAAGAAATGAAGTTGACAGATGGCTCTTACTTCGGAGGTCAGTAAATATACTGTGCAGGGTAAATCAAATGCCTCTGGTGTGTATCTGCTGATTTGGGATATGAATTTGTCCTTGAATTTTTGCAAAAGCATTTGAAGTGCATCTATATTTCAGGGTTACAAGTTCCATAAATCTGTATGTATAGTCCTGTACAGTCATACATACACTAACAAGAACAGAGTTGTAACCACTGTACCTGGAACCAGACAATACTGCATGAAGTAACCAGAGAGTGCATTTTTCTCTCTCACCCAAAAGTCACCAGCATGTTGGATGACACTTTTCATAGCAGTTATACAGGCCTCCTATATTGCTGTATCAAGATTTTGAGTTTTTGCTATTTTGTGTTTATTCTTTTGTTTTAATATACACACAACTTTCTTCCTTAAGGTTTTAATGTTTTATGGGTGTAGAGAGAAAAGAAGGAAAGCTAGAAGTCGATCTTTAGACTTATTGCTAAAAGTTACCATCATCACTATAGTTCACTTATAATTAATAGAATTCAAATCATCACCCCTAGCAGTAAACAAGGGAGAGAAATTCACATTGTGGTTGGGAAGTAACTTATGAGGCTGAAAATCCTCATTATATGGTTTGTTCCCAACATTGTTATTGTAAAATGTGTGCTTCTGTTTATATACATACGCAAAAAGTTCCCCTTAAGAAAGCAGAGTTAATGTGTAAATATTTTAAGGGAAGTGTGTGATTAATATCTGACTAGATGACGAATATGTTGAAGAAAAGTTTGGAAGGAGATTTTAAAGCACATTATGATTATAAGTGGATTTATTGGGCCAGCAAGATAGTCCAGCCCGTAAAGGAGCTTGCTGCTAAGACTTGTGACCTGAGTTGGGTGCCTGAGACCCATGTGGTACAAGGATAGGACTAACTCCCACAAGCTGTACCCTGACCTCCACACATGAATCTTTGCACATGCATGTTAAACTCAAATAACACAAATAAATGAAAACTAAGATAATTGACAAGACTTGTGGATTCACAACCACTAATCTTTTAAGAAAATAAATACAACTTTGTCCAAATTTTTCTAATTCATACCTTCTCTCTGGTTTATATCTCCTCCATAATTCCACATTACACTTAATCAATAGCATTTTCTTATATTCTCTTGATAATGCTTCTTACATTTTATGAATTGAGTAGTTTTAAGTGCTCTAGATCTTCAGTCCTCTAAAATTTGTTAGACAGTTTTTCACCATTAGATTGAGGTGACATATTTTGTAAGGAAAAGCATGACAATAAAACACCATTCTCAGCAGATCATATAACAGTCATGGAGCACTAGGTGTACTACTTACTGCTGTTGGTATTTGATTCAGTCACGTCACTCTGAGCAGACTTTATTCTCTTCTATTCTTTATTTACTAGCCTTATGTATCACCATATGAAGTATACTGTAATGTGACTTCATTGTGTGGCTCGGGTTGCTGAGATGTCTCATCGCATGATGACTACATGCCCTTTAAAATAAGGTTCTATTTGCTTGATCTGTGTTCAGTTTGTGCTGCTTTCTGTTTAATCTGCAGAAGGCTCATGGGAATATTTTTCTTTCAGTTTAGCATTCTCCATATGTCCAAAGGGTCCTTCATTCAATTGTTGGACACTAGTGTTTTAACTCATGATTTTGACACTAAGAATGTTCATGTTATTTCTCTGTCATTATAGATAAGGTTTCTTAGTTAAATAAAGCAGTGTTACACACATCTACATGTACACACTCGTGCATACACATGTGCACAAACAACAATATCCTGTGTTTGTAAATATGTCTTTTTTTCTATACTCATCTACATCTGTATAAAGCTAAAGTGAGTTCCTACTAATGTTTTCAAATTTAATCCATTACCACATAGTCTGGTCAAATACCTATATTTTTCCATTTTCTTTCTTTTTCATTTTGAGACAGCCTTTCTCTGTGTAGCTATGGCTGTCCTGGAACCCATTTTGTAGGCCACACTGACTTTGAACTCACAGAGATTCACCCACCTCTGCCTCCTGAGTGCTGGGATTAAAGGTATGCACCACCATGCCCAGGTTCCACTACCTATTTTTATTTGTAACTCCTTATCTACTAGCCATGATACTATGCCCCTTGCAGGTCTATGAGAAACAACTTTTATCAGCTAGTTGCATGTGTAAATTTTGCCTTGGTTCTTACATACTCCATGGACATCCAAAAGCACTGAAGTCAGTATCTTATTTTTCCATCCCTCTCAGCTACACTGTTTCATACAGTTGTTAAGTACTTATAGTTGTTTGTCACAATCTGCATATCACCCATGGTCTTAGTTAGGGTTTCTATTGTTGTGATGAAACACCATGATCAAAAGGCCAGTTGGGGAGGAAAGGGTTTATTTGGCTTATATTTCCATATTGTGGTTCATCGTTAAAGGAAACCAGGATGGGAACTCAAACAGGACAGGAACCTGGAGGGAGAAGCTGATACAGAAGCCATGGAGGGGTGCTGCTTACTGCTTGCTCTCCATGACTTGCTCAGCTGGTTTTCTAATAGAACCCAGGGCCACCAGCCTAGGGGTGGCACCACCAGCAATGAACTTGGCTCTACCCCATCAATCACTAGTTAAGAAAATGCTCTACTGGCTGGCCCACTGTCTGATTTTATGGGGCATTTTCTCAATCAAGGTTTCCTTCTACCAGATGACTATAGTTTGTGTCAAGATGACATAAATCAAGCCAGTACACCCAGCTATATTCTGATCTCATAATTTGCTGTTCGGTTTGCATAGCATAAAGCTTATTCTGTGTTAAAAATTTTCCATAGATTTTTTTACAGATGCTCATTGTCCAGTATATTATTATTTTAATATCAAATCTTAACACTCTTTAAAATAAAAGAAACACCAAACACCCTGTGCATGACTTACTTGATCTTGTCACTTCTAGGACCTGTATTGAGCACTGTTATGTTAAATTTAAGCTCCAATTTCAAATTTTAATTGAAATTATGAAGGAAATTAAGGTGTTTTGGTATTCAACTTTTATGAAATGACCTACATATAAACTCATCTTAGTTATAGGAGCTATGTTACTAATTTTGGGAGGTTTGCTTCATGAGTAATCTTGTTTTCTTCATGAAGAGAAAATTTGTTCTGTACTTCCAATTGATATACATTTAAATTCCATTTTATTGTCTTGTTTAGTTGGCTGGCATTACCAACATTATGTTGAGTTAAAGCAGTATGAGGAATATTCTTACCATGATATTCATTTGGGAAGAAACAATCCATATTTACATAATACCAGTTGAAAGATGTTTTGGATTTTTTTAGGTTTCTTGATTTTTATTGAGGGTAGTCTCCATAATTATTTTAAGTAATAAATGGAATCTTGGTCTTGTCCATTTTTGTCTCTGACTTATAATAAATATTTGTTATTTTACTATTATTTTGTTTATTCTAAATAAAATAGATCATAGTTTCTTTTCATCTTTAACTTGTTTTGTAGTTGATTATATTTAGATATTGAGTTTTGATTCAAAGATAAATTTCAATCATTAAAGTTTATAAAGGAGTTAGATTGGATTTGCCTGAACTTTGGTGATTAACTCTGCCAGAAATATTTCTCTTGTCTTTTTCTTTCCCTAAATGTACTTTCTGAGTTTTGAATTAAGCTAATTCACACCTCAGAAAATGAATTTATAAGTTTCTCTCCCTGCTCCTTTTTCTGAAGAATTATTATCATTTCTTTCTTAAATATATTGTAGAGTTCCCTAATGAAAACACTGGAAGCTAGCATTCATTTTTGCAAGGTTATTGCATATTTATTCAATTTCTTTATAGCAAAGATACCATGTTTATTCAGCTTCCCTATTTCTCACTGTGTAAATTTGGTTAGTCTGACTCATCTACAACATTATTCAGTGTTCCCATCAGTACATGGTCCAAATAAATGAGCATGGGACAGATGCTCAATGTCTGTTGAGCAAATGTATAGGCACCAGAAATACAGAACTGAGTAAAAGAGATCAAGTATCCTACAATTATCTAACTTTTAACTTTTGGTTGTTAAAAGAAACTTAGAAAGTATTAAAATTGTAAGCTGTTTTATTGGATGATGAAGAAAAATGCTTTGGGAAAATTAATGCAGGGAATAAAAGGAATGCCTCCTACCACCTACAGTCATGTAAAGAATTAGAATGTGGGCATGTGGAATTATGGGAAGTTCCAGACTTCTTAGTGAGTAATGATGGCTAACATACGAACAGGGCCTAATGATAGTTGTTCTTACTGCTCAGGTCAGATAGATAGTGATGGAGTCAATGCATAGATCCAGTTAATAAGGTGCTATGGGGGTAACCGTTGGGCTGATAGAGAAAAAGGCTTCCAAAACTCCTTCTTGATTACTCTTTGGAGATAAGTTATGTAGCCTTAATTTTCTTTTATAAGTGAGGAAATTGAAAGGCTCTCAAAAACACCTCACTCCTCTGCTTTTTATAGTCTTGCTGCCCCATTTTCCAATAAACTTCCTGAGCCTTACATATCAGTTGGGGATGGAAGCCACATGGTCAGTTGTTCTTTGTATTTTGATCAGTTGTGGATTTCTGTAATAATTTCTATCTGTTGGGGAAAAAGAAAACTTCCTTAATGAAGATTAAGTGTTCTCCTTACCTGTGAACATAAAAAGTATTAAAAATGCAACTAGATTGCAATGGTTTATGAAAGTAGATGTTCCTCTAGATTCTATGACCTCATGAGTCATGGGTAGTTGCCTAGGTTTACAGTACCTACTAGACATGAAGTCCTTCTTCCTGACTGGGTCTTAAGTCCAATTATACAGCTACAGGTTACTGACAAGATATAAGTGCTACCTAGTGTATATTTAACCCTGTTGGTAATTGTTGTGTTTCATATAGGACAGGCAAGCTACACTTATGAAATTTTAAAAATGTGGTAGCCTAAACAAGACCTAAACAAAGGTATCAGTTGACAAGTCAATGTGGATGAAAGAAATCACAT